AGCTGGCTGGTATCAATCGACAATGTTTGTGTTGAAGACTTGGCAACCTTGAGGGCTCACATATGATTGGCTCTTCATCCAGGAAGTATGGAGGTGGAAAAGATTGTAAACAAAGACTAAGGGTGTTTCTCAATGTCAAGGCACCTAGCCTTGCGAGGTGATGTCTTGTGAGGCCAGGCTCCTTGCTTACGAGGACACTGTCCTTCCTTGGTCAAAGAAAACAGTTAAATGGAACAGACTTACATCATGTGATTGCGGTTTCCACAGCAGTCACGTAACATCACGTGACACGGGAGATTACATTATATTTTTAATGTATAAGTTTCAATATATATAACAAGCCTTTTACTTTTTAAATTGTGTATATGTTTGTTAAATGAAAAATATAAGTGAGTTGACTACCCGCTAGCCACCAAAGCTGCAACTACTAAGCAACTAACCAACTATAGATAACGTCTTTGGATAATAAAAAATACCTAGGTGTATTCTGGTTAATTTTTGACCAAGGGTAGGCTACAAGACACCTTCCGTGTATCCTTGCTCAGCTAGCTAAACGGCTAACAACCGGAGAACAGACGCCTCGGTAGAACATGAACATTGGAACATGTCTTGGCGACTCCTGATGACGTATCTCCCAGGCAACCGGGGCGGGGCCAAGACATCAAGGCAAGGCTCCTTGGCACTGAGAAACACGCTGTGTCCCCTTGCAGCCTTTTCAAAAGGAAAAAAGCTGTCACCCACCCACCTGGCTAAAACTGAGCTCTGTTTCTATGTAAGCTTCCTCCCAACACGATTGAGATATTACACTGTTTTGTGACTATTTCACTGTAAATTCTTACTTATTGGACCTTTAAATTTACCCTTTTGCCCTCTCAATTGCTGAACTTCCAATTTCCCCATCTCCAAAATGCAGTGGCGGGCGGTGCGTTCCACCCCTGGGCCTTCAGTGATTTCCTATTCAGTCCAATCTAATTTAATACACCTTAAAATACCATCAATAGGACATCACAGCTGGAGAAACCTCACACACACACACACACACACACACACACACACACACACACACACACACACACACACACCAGTGGCTGGTCAAGACACATAATTTCCAGTCTTTAAAATCAAACTCGCATTCCCAGTTGAGAGTAGGAAGCTGACCACGGATACCGTCAAATCTCAGAAATGAAAGACGGGTTTTAGAGATGAAACGAAAAAATAAGTAATGCAAACACATTATTTGCATTTGTTTTGGAGAAAATTGTACTGCGAACATGTTGGCGCAGCTGCACACACCACGTTATACACAATATAAATTGCATAGAAACAGAACACAGAATAATTTCATTTTGCCATTTTATTTCGTTACCATTTATTGATTATTAACTAAATAAAATGACAAAACATTAAAAAAATACTAATAAAATGTTTCTACTCACCAACATAAATGTCCAGCATGGATCTCCTCCTCTCCTGCTCATTTGAAAATAAAATCCATCCTTCTTTCTTTCCTCATGAAAACCTCAATGGCTCTGTACAGTTTATCTGTGCACTTCAGGTCCATGAGTAGATCCTTTTCTACGGACATGGAGGCTGAAAGCCGTGTCTGTCCGGTCGTGTTTCTGGCGTACATTTTAACTCGCTTTAATGCTACCAAATCCATCTGATGCAAGCAACAGGCGTTCTCAGCAGAATAACCTGCAGCGGTTCTCTGAAGCTGTTTGCCGTGGGTACCGTTCATAGTTGCTTGCCTGAAAATGACGAACAAATCCTTTCCCCTGTTGGGACAAGTCAGCTAGCGTTGGAGTCAGACGACCTGTTCTCACAAGATCCATTTTTTCTTGAAAGGTCTGTCTTGAAAATGGTGTGGCAAGTAAATCTGCCACCAAGTCGGTCCCTTCTCCTCTTTCAGCCATCATGTGTTCAAAAACACACCGATAGCTGCCTAAAGATACAAATCTCTGTGTTTAGTTTTGATATTTTGCTTCATGCCGCTAGAAAAGTTCTAACTACTGCTCATCCAATCACAGGATGCGTTCATGTCAACTTTTGCGTGAGGCCAGATAGCTGGCCCGGGCCAAGCTGACTCGTGAGCTGATTGGCTGTCGCAACTGGCCCGTCTCCGTTCACTTACAGCGGACAGTGGGCTTCTCGATTGATTCTGAAGGCCTAGGGCAGACTTAATCTGCCTGAAAACACAAGCTAGCTTAAATCTGATTGGATAACACCCAGCCTTGGTATTTTAACACTGGAAGCAGTGCAGCCAAGTGGGTATAATAGGATATAAAGAAAATAGACCAGTAAACATTTTTTTTATTTAAAAATAATTACCAAAGGAAAAAAATACATTTACGCTTTTGAGTATGTTTAGGCCAGCAGAGAAGGCTTTGCTGGCCCTGACTGCCCACCACTGCCAAAATGTAAGAGGTTGGTTAAAGTTTTCCACATTTTCTCTTCACGTTAATTTATTTTTTTCTTACATAAATCACAAACTTTGTGAAGAAAATGACAAACCTAAGTTTCAGATCCTGTTTAGTATATGCAAGCATTACAACTGAGGCCTTTGATCAATAGGCATTAAATACAGCGATAAGGTGGACTGAATTTTACTGATAATGGTGTTTTAGTAATGACAATTTTAATTAAGCATAACAGTGACAATAAAAACAACAATACAACGATATGATTATAATGATATAACTGTGTCCCTAAAAAGGCTGAAGTAGAGATCAGTGCCAGATGGCTTTAAGCACACACACAGAGTGTTTGTTGTGCCGCTCCACTCTGATGAGCAGGATTCAGTGAGCTTGAGAGAGTTTGGCAGGGGAGCCAAAAGAAAATCAGGTTTTTCTTTGTTTTACATTAAATTCCCTGGACTGTTTCCTCTCGCTGCCAGCAGCCCTGAGTAATTAGTGTAAACTCACGTTGTGTGAATGGGTGTGTCAGTTTGTATTTGGATAGGTGTGAAAGTAACATTTGTTAGCAGCTAAAAAGATGTCCCTGACTTTTTAGTAGCTTTTGACAGAGAAGAAAAGGACATTTTACAACCGAAGCAGTAGGTGGGATTTTTACCCTCGTGCTTTTGCTGCACATACACTGTAAAATGGTAACACCAATCGTTTTAATGCCACATTTTTATGGGCTGGGACATCGTTCAACTAATCTGACTTTTCTGGTGGTAAATCGTGACATTTCTAAACACTAAAAGCATTAAGTCAGAATTTTTCTATTCCATAGCAAATATGGAAACACATATCCAGCCCTTTGCTCACACGTTACATAAACACAATATTTTCTGTTAGCTTTGAAATGTTTTTTCTTTTCATAATTTATGATGGTTTATTTGTTTTGTAGCTCTTTATGAGTCTAGTTTCTTCATTAGATTTCCTCTTCTGATCTTATTTCTGATTTTTAGCTCTGCTCCCTAAATAATAAAAACAATAATTTCAAAACTGCATTTTTTGTTTACTTGTGTTATCTTTGACTAACGGTTAAATGTGTTTGATGATCAGAAACATTTTGTGTGACAAACATGCAAAAGAATAAGAAATCAGGAAGGGGGCAAATAGTTTTTCACACCACTGTATATATATAATGCATGTATACATACCTACATTATACATATATAGTTTTTTTTTTGTCAAATTAAGTACAATCTACTAATCTTATATCCAGTTGAACATCTCTGGATATGTGCGCATAAGAGCATCAAAGGCTTAGAAATGTTACTCAATATTTAAAAATATATCCATCATAATAACATGAGCCTGAAATCAGTGTAATTGATATTAAAATAATAGCTTTTATAAATAAAGCTTTGATTGATTGATAAAACAATAGCTGGCAAAGTAATGCAACAGTGGTTTTATTTTGAAAAAATAACAGATGTGCCTCGTTCCTCTGTCTCACTTCCTGTGTGGCTCAGGTAATTTCTTCAACTTTGTGGTAATCTGCATGTGATGTGTGGAAAAAGTAGACTCTATGTGGAAACTTTGCACAGCTCTGCATCCAAATCCACACCACAGCTGGTGTGAATGCTCTGATTGAACTAATTGATTTTTGATGTTTGTGGAAGCCATACGAAAACTGGGCTGCATCTGTTCTGCAGTCAGCGTGAAAGAGGCTTAAGGGTCCTGATTGTTCCTGCACTAGGACGGGATATGTAGTCTTTTCAGTAGGTTTTGGATCTTCCCTGGCCTCCTTGAATATCTCCAGAGGGACGCTGTGAGGAGGTAGCCCAGCTATTTAGAGCCCCATACTATATTACCTTCCTTTTTGTCCAAATGAGTATTTATTTTACAGCTGGGTGTGCTTTCCTTGTCCTCGAGTGCATCCTGCATGTTTTAGCTGTTTCACTATTCCAACTCACCTCATTCTAGTGAGTAGGTGATGAACAGGCTTCTGCGGAGCCATTGTTGTGTGTGTTGGAGTGGAGAAACAACTAAAACATGCTGGAATGGTGACTTTTCTGGACCAGGATGGGGCACCCCTAAACTATGGAGAAAGCAGAACTCAGCATTTTGTGCCTGAGGTCTTGTTCTACTGGCCATGGTCCATAGGCCAGAGGTGAAGGTTGGTGTGTGGACACTACTGAAGCTTTGCCTTTAGGCTAAGCTTCTTTCTTGACTGGACCAGAGCGACGCCCACATCGCTGCATCCACCAACAGCAAAATGTGAGATCCTTCTGTCACCAATGTCAACACCCTCCACACTATGGCAGCACATACAATAATGCCCAGCAAGGGTATGAACAGGTCCAGTAAGGTCCTCATCAGGAAATGTTCGATTTACTGCCAACAACACTGAACGTTTGTTTGTTGTAGGGATTGAAAGAGCCTTCCACCACATACTTCCTGAGTTTCCCTCTACAGTACCTTGGGGACCAGGTCATGCTCCTTCACCAGATCCCAAAACACATGTGGACTGGTTGAGAAAACTCCCATGACCCTAGGGTAAGGAGCTGGTCCACAGCTGGAACAAAAACCACACTCATCTCAAATATAAAAGGAAAAACATTTCTGATGGTTTTATTCCAAATTTCCCGTTCCAGAGTGAAATGTTTAGTCCTGGAAAGAAATCAGGCTTTAACATGTGGTGAAGTGAAACATACATCACACATCAAATGTTTGTTGGAGTGGAATCGGTGGAGACCCAAGAACAAGACTTAAACGAGAGGCAGCAAGCAATAGAAAGTGTGTAGTACGTCTTCCTCTAGGGACAGCATGGTTAGGAAATATATTTCTAAAAGCCAAAGGAATGCAATGAGAGGAGCACAAGTACAGAAGTCATATTTTATTGCCACGTAAGAAAGTTGTATATATAACAATGGTAATATACTGTCAGATGGCAAATCAACAACAATCCAACAAAAAGATCCATGTTCTCCCTTCCCCAAATCAAAATAAAACAGTCATAGCAACACTGTGGTAATATACTTCCTGGACAATACATACTTTTTATTTTTTACAATATTTGTGTAGTACCAAAATACAGTTTTTTTATAACTTCGTTTCACAAATTACAAAGTCAGTGAACAGTAAAAGGACGATGGGGCATCACGGTGCATATCATAAGCTACTGTGCAAACGATAGAAGGTGGTGGGCTCTAAAATCAGAAATAAACTCAGAGACGATGTGTTCGTGGGCCAAACTATATGTATCCATATACACGAGTGCATAAATACCACTAACTGGTCCTGACATCAAAAGTAGAAAATGGAATCTCATGTCACTTTCTGCACGTTGTGTGTGATTAACATCAAAAAATCGATCCTAAAAATGGATATACTCTCAAAGGGATAGTATCATATTGCAAATAGATTATTGATTTATTAAACCCATCAGTGCTGAACCAGATTTTTACTTTTAAATCACCACGGTTTAAACCCTTCTAATAAAACAGCTAGTGCATGTTATGATGACTTAAAGATAAAAACCGGACATGTCAAACACACCGAAGGAGCCGTTAAAGCAGAGATGTTGAGCGTTACTGGACAGCAAGCATCGTGTCTCCCCTGTCTCCGTGTGCATAAAAGTAGACAGTCTCACATAAACATGTACAAACTTGTAAACACCAGAAATGAGAACCCTTTTGTTAAATAGTAATATGTGATCATACAGGTGCTGCTCTGTGTTGGCTGCCAGCTCATAAACAGCAACAGTAAAGGGCAGAAATTAAAGGAGGATGACTTTTTAAGAATGTCGCTTGTGTTTGAGCCCTTTATTGTTTTCCCAATAAGCTGTACAGATCATGTCCTCTCCTCATCCGCAAAAGGAATATTTCTCCTGCATTTATTCTGGAAAAAGACCGTCACAGCTACTTCTCACCATTAAAGGAATCCTCACAGACGACAGGGTTTTCCTGATTCTGGCTGACATCAAGAAACATCTGTGCTTTACGTGTTTTAGCATAAATATGAGAAAGAGTTTTTAATAAATATTCAACACAACAGGGGCATCAAAAATTTTCCCATACACTTCACAAATCTGTCTTATTGACTCAAGCTGCGGACAAGCTTGGACAGAGAGAGTGTGTGTGTGTGTGTGTGTGTGTGTGTGTGTGTGTGTGTGTGTGTGTGTGTGTGTGTGTGTGTGTGTGTGTGTGTGTGTGTGTGTGTGTGAGCGGTCAGTCGTCTCTGATTTACACTCTCCCAGGTGTTTTCTGCAACTCATTTTAATCAACGGACCAGAAAGCGAGACTTGGTTTATTTTTTTTGCAAGTTTTACCATCACAAACCGGAGCTATTTTAGTTCTTGTTTGGCCTCCTCATTAAATATTGCAGGACAACAACAAAAGGCGAAGGCGCTGTCAGCTTCACCCAAAAAAATAAATAAATCAAAATACGGGCAGATCTGAAGACTTGATTTGTATTTATGAGTTTGTTTTTGACCAAGTTTTGGACAATAGCCCCATAGTCTCCCCGCTAAGCCTTTTCTCTGTTGATTTAGAGGTTTCGTGAGAGCTCAGTCCTTGTTAGTGCATAAACGTTTTTATCGTTATGAATGCCTGAGCTTAGGGGATCTATGTTTCCTTTTAAACATGACACATTAAACCTTCAGTCATCAAACTCATGAACTAGTTCAAATAAGATGCTTGTGACAGTTTGATGCAAGAATACTTTATTTAGAGTTTCAATAATCAAAAGCAAATGTGGACTGTCCCTCCCTCTAGATGTCGGACTGAAACCATTCGTGTGGATTTCAGTAAATCATGAAAAGGAGAAATCAGATTTCTAAAGAAAATCCTAATTCCCATCTGTGTTTTTATGTTTATGTGCTTAGCAGACGCTTTTACCCAAAGCGACTTACATTTTTTTTAACCTATAGGGCATGTTGTGATCTGTGGGGGAAACCGGAGTACCGGAGAAAACCCACGCATGCATGGGGAGAACACGCAACTCCACGCAGAAAGGCCGCAGCCGAGTTTCGAACCTGCGACCTTCGTGTTGCGAGGCAACAGTGCTAACCACTGCGCCACCATGCACCACTCTGTTTTTAATCCAATAGGACTTAAATTGTCATTTGTATCATTTACTGAAAACAGAGATAAGAAATATCAGTAGTGGAGTTTACAGTTGAACTCATTGTTACATTGTAGCTCTTTATAAATAATTATTAGACACCATGAGATGTACAGCCCACCTCCCTTGAAGGACACTCATTAGCTGTCCAGTGCTCAGTTTGACTGGACCACACCCACTCGTTTTCTGCAGAGACCTCTTGTTTGGACAGTTTGCAGGTGGCAAGCCATAAGGTATCATTAAAGTGATGTTCAGATCATTTTAAGGTGGATTTTTGTGGAAATGTTATGAATAAGTAATATCTCACCAATTGTAGATAACTATGAACAACCTGACTTTGGAGAAATAGATTCTAGTCATAGTCTTTTTCAAAGGGGTCACTTTCATCCATCCATCAATGGTCTATACCTGCTTGTCCGTGCAGGGTCATGGGGGGCTGGTGTCTATCTCCAGCTGTCTTCGGGCATACAGGCCGGGTACACCCTGAACAAGTTGCCAGTCCATCGCAGGGCAACGCGGACACGCACAAGACTAACAACCAAGCACACACTCTCTTAAGGCCAATTTAAAGAGACCAATCAACTTGACAGTCATGTTTTTGAACTGTGGAAGGAAGCCAGAGTACTCAGAGAGAACCCATGTGTGCACAGGGAGAGCATGCAAACTTCATGCAGAGAGACCCCAAGTTGGGATTTGAACTCAGAACCTTCCTGCTGCAAGGCAACAGTGCTCACTTTCATCCTAAAACTATTATTTCAAAGTTTTACACTTTATGCAAACAAAATGTTCAAGCCTTTATATCTGTGTGATTTACACAGATATGCGGCATAACCATAACAACCACATCGGTGCCATGTTGTCCAAGATGGACTGGTTGCAGTCAATGTTAACACCATGGGCAGGAGAAACAGCTTTTTTTATTTTTTTATTTTTTATTTTAACAAAACTAAATTAAAATATCAGAAATCTAACTTTAAGTGTGTCAGGCATAAAATTCAGAACATGTAGTACATTTCAAAATCTACTCAACTAGAAACTGAATAATAAAATGTGTTTGACTTCATGTAAACTAACCCTGAACATCTGACTCCTTACAAATATGTTTTATCTTCACCTCTGAAAATATGGCAGACATTTTTGCATTGTGGGTAGTCTGCCCTGTAATGATACAAGAAAAGTTGTTTTAGTTTATTTTTACAATTTCATTAAAGTCTCCCTGTTGGGTTTTGAGTGTTAAACTCAGTTTTGATATTGAAAACTTAAAATTACTTGTTATTTCAACAAATTGTTATATTTTCCTCATTCTCAACAGTCAATTTAAAGCTGGAATTTATAGATTAAAAAATGATGATCAGTGTTGCAAAGGGGGAGTTATTTGTTGTTGTCATGTTGGCATCATAAGTGAGGAGGGCGGTCGAAGGAATGGGACCATTGTGCCATTCCACTTCCCTCATCTGGCAGTTCAGGCTAAATGCTCTGGACTCAGCTCCTTTGTGCTCACTGGCTGCACACAGTCATGCAGCATATGGGCCTTGAGCTAGCTATCTACCTTTCAGTGTTGCTGTTATTTTCCTGCTTCACCTGTTACCTAACTTGGCTCGACAGCCGCCATATTGGTAACACGAGTACAAACAATTAATCCACTAGTTCAGTTAGCGTAAACTTTCAATTTGAATGGACAAACATGAATTGCTTAACTTAAATTCCATCCAAACATCCATCCATTTTCATCTGCTTATCTGGAGTCGGGTCGCGGGGGCAGTAGCCTAAGGCGAGACGCCCAGACTTCCCTCTCCCCAGCCACTTAGGCCAGCTCCTCCGGGGGAATCCCAAGGTGTTCCCTGGCCAGGTGAGAGACATAGTCCCTCCACCGTTTCCTGGATCTACCTTTAGGTCTCCTCCCGGTTGGACGTGCCCGGAAAACCTCACCAGGGAGGCATCCAGGAGGCATCATGACCAGATGCCTGAGCCACCTCAACTGGCTCCTCTCGATGTGGAGGAGCAGCGGGTCTACTCCGGGACACTCCTGGATGATCAAGCTTCTCACCCTATCTCTAAGGGAGTGCTCAAACACCCTGCTGAGAAAACTAATTTTAGCCGTTTGTATCTGTGATCTTATTCTTTTGGTCACTACCCAAAGCTCATGGCCACAGGTGAGGGTAGGAACGTAGAACGACCGGTAAATGGAGAGCTTTGCCTTCCGACTCAGCTCTCTCTTCACCACGACAGGCCGGTACAACGCCCGCATCACTGCAGATGCAGCACCAATCCGCCTATCGATCTCATGCTCCAGTTTTCCCTCACTTGTGAACAAGACCCCGAAACGTAAACTCCTCCACTTGGGGCAGGACCTCATCCCTGACCCGGAGAAGGCATTCTACCCTTTTCCGAATCAAGACCATGGTCTCAGATTTAGAGGAGCTGATTCTCATCCCAGCTGCTTCACACTCGGCTGTGAACCGCTCCAGCGAAAGCTGAAGATCACGTTCTGATGAAGCCAACAGGACCACATCATCTGCAAAAAGCAGAGATCTGATCCTCAGGCCACCAAAACGGAAGCCCTCCACACCTTGGCTGCACCTAGAAATCCTGTCCATAAAGGTTATGAACAGAATCGGTGACAAAGGGCAGCCTTGGCGGAGTCCAACTCTCACTGGGAACGAGCCCAACTTCCTGCCGGCAATGCGGACCGAGCTCTGACACCGGTCATACAGGGACCTAACAGCCCGTATCAGAGGGCCTGGTACCCCATACTCCCGGAGTACCTCCCACAGGGCCCCCCAGGGGACGCGGTCAAATGCCTTCTCCAGATCCACAAAACACATGTAGACTGGTTGGGCAAATTCCCACGCACCCTCCAGGATCCCCCTAAGGGTATAGAGCTGGTCCAGTGTTCCACGGCCTGGACAAAAACCACATTGCTCCTCCTGAATCTGAGGTTCAACCATCCGACGGACCCTCCTCTCCAGAACCCCCTAAAAGACCTTACTAGGAAGGCTCAGGAGTGTGATCCCCCTGTAGTTGGAACACACCCTGCGGTCCCCCTTTTTAAATAAGGGGACCACCACCCCGGTCTGTCAGTCCAGTGGGACTGCCCCAATGTCCACGCGATATTGGCGTCAGCCAACACAGCCCCACAACATCCAGAGCCTTAAGGAACTCCAGGCAGATCTCATCCACCCCATAAAAGTGATCATATACTGCGATATAATGTAAGCAATGCGTCTTTTTATTTTTCGCTTAGCATGCCCCTGCCCCGCAGAGCTCCATGCAATAGGAAACTGAGCGCCAACCAGAACTAACCAATAGCATTTATTTAAGGAATACCTCGGCCGATGGCAGATTTGATGAACTTTTCACGGACAAGTCTCTAAAATATAAATATATGAGAACACAGCATGACATGAGAATAATACTCATAAAAAACATGTTTTAGCTCTGTTTGTCGGCTACAGAAGGACATTAATAAACAAGAAATGTGAAGTCGCCATCTTAAAAAATGAAAGGAGAAACTATTTGCGAAATATGTTTGTCAGCCACTAGATGGAGCCATCGGATAAGAGAAATACTCCGGAAAGAGACTAAGTTGACATGATAGACGTTTTATAGGCAGCCGGTGAACTTTTGTTTTTAAGTTATTCTGGCCTGTTTATTACAGTGTGTGACATCATTGTGTTTTGATGATGTTTGCATTACTTCACCTAAATTCATATTCTATGCCTGGTTGTGACTAACTGTTAGCCACTAACTAGCCGTTAGCTTGTGACTAGCTGTTGCTATCTGAAAGCATGTCTGTCTGGTGAAAATAAACCTGTTTCTCTAAACTCAGGGCTGTTTACAACACGTTAATCCTAACCTTTCTACAGGAGCCCACTCATGAAGCGGAACCATCGTTTTAACAGTGTAAGTGCAGGTCCTCAGCATGCACTAAGCCTTTGATTTGACGCGGTCAACAACAAATCAACAACAAAAGGCTTAAATGATGTGACCAGTTTTTGACAGGGATGCTTTGACACTCTGCTGCAAGTTTACATGAATCAAACACAAATAACAAAGCAAATGTGATTATTTCTGCTTCTCTAAATGTTACGTTTACAGTGACGGCTTATAAGGTTGCTACTAGAAAAACCATGGTTTATTCAAACATGGTTTTGAGCTAAACAAGAATATGTAGTGTTGTTTTGTCACACCTGTGTTCTTTTTTGTGTTGTGGTGTTCTGTCTGGCTGCCTGATGAACAATGTCAGACATGACTGCCTCCTGAACCCACTCATCTGTGGTTCTGACCCTTTCGACCGCCGCCCAGCCAATCGTTTTCTGTCAGGGGTATTTTGACACTAAGACTAAATGACAAAGTTTTTTTCTATTTTTGTGAAGAAGGCGTCTCTACATTGCAGCCTGCTTATTGTTTGTGGTCTTTTTTGCAGAGCTATACTAAAGATGAGGCAGTGGCAGCTGGCAAAGGGAAGGGCTGCCACGTTTCACCATTTCTGCCTTGCTGGATTAAGTCAATTGACTCTGATCAGACACATCCTGAAAACTCTGACCTTTTATTCAAGTTGGGCACAAGCCAAGCCTTCAATCTGTCAGGGAAAGGAAAAATTAAATACCAAAAGCAGTGGAGAGAAGAATAAATCCACAGGGGAGTTTTTCCTTCCCTTTTCTATAGAATCCAAATAAATTTTGCAGGTTATAAATCACATGACTTTGTTTGGGGTTTTTGTGTTTTCAGAGACAATACCAAAGTTGGATTCACATACAAACACAGCCTTGGCAAATGTTAAAGTGACAATGTGTAGTTTTTACCATTAATCTATGAAAAAATCCATCAAAATGTTATTGAAAGTGAATTAAATGATGCCCAGTTGTTGACACGTATTGGCGGTTTTGTAACAAATAACAATAAAAATCTGGTCTAAAATACATGGGAGTGGGTCTAAGTCTCTGAGCGATGCCATGTTTGCTTCCACGGAAGCCTGTGAGGACAAAATGCATTTACTGATTTGTAACAAATGGTTACAAAACTTTCACCATTCATAGATGTTGTTTTACACGTTTTCCTCCTAACTTGTTGCCAGTGATGAAAGGAAGTCTGATGTGCTTGTCATTCTGCTGGAGGTTGCACTCCCAAGGATTTTTGACCCTAATGGCCACCCGTTAGTGAGGTCTTACTCAAACACAAAAATACAGCTTGCTTGCAATGATTTAGGTATGTACTGCCCCCTATCGCCAGGGAAAATACACACTGTCGCTTTAAAGCAGCAAAATGTGTGCAGCTGTCAAGAGAACACTTTACGGTACAAAAACAAATATTTACTCCATAAGAGCAATCGCTCTAATTTTCCTGCTTTAGCAATTCTCACGAGAAAACACACCTTCATCGTTTCCATACATCTGTGCTCCCCCATGTCAAGAACGATTTATTTCTCTTTCTCATATTTCTGCTCTGAACATTCCCTTCATATACAGAGAGAGGAGGGTGAAAAGGAATATAGAACAAGAGCGAAAGGCTATGTATATTTATATGGTATAAAAAGCATTTTATCAGTAATCGCTACAAAGGGCCAAGATCTGGAGTTTCACAGTCCTGCTCGTACAACAGGTGCAGTAACAGTACCGACTCTTTGTCTCTCTGCTGTGATGACACCTGCCGCTTGGCACTGTGGGAACGCAAGAGAAGCAGAGCCCACCCTGTAAAATATTCTGAGACTGCGTGTGTGTGTGTGTGTGTGTGTAAGTGTGAATGTGTTTGTCGTGGGCGTTCTGTATAAATGACACGTTTTTATTACTCGGATAAGTTTTAAAATCCCGTTCTGTGCCTTCAGTCGGGTCTCAGTTCTTTAATCGTGTGACCCTCAAAGGCAGCAGGGTGTTGCACAGCATTAGGCAAAAAACATCCCTCTTTTAAGACCCCCTTATCTCCCGCTCAGCCGACTTAGTTCTGATTTAGGAGCTGGGATATTAGGTGCTCCTTTGCACCTCAAATCTTCACGCAGTCTGGACCCAGAAAGTGGTGCTGACAGTAAAACGTGTCACTGGTATTCACATCATAATTTAACATCTTTTTCTCTCTCAGATTGTCATGTGCACCTCTTTCTCTTAAGCTATAAAAATGAGTTATTAACACCTTTTGTTTTGTTTTTTTCACAAATGTCCTCCCAGCATATCTTTGTTTGTGTACCTTATCTGAGCCAACAAGCAGCTGTTTGTGCATCACTACTTTCCCAAAAAAATAGAAAAACACGTTGGAACCTGGATTTCAAACAACAGAGGTGGAAGCAGCAGTTGTCGATGACAAGGTCACAGTCGTTGCTGCAGAAGCTAACGTGAACACTGCCGACAAAAACATGCAGATAGGCTTGAAGAAGCCCTTCAAAGATTTGGCCTATTTGTCAGACACAGATTTATTTTTATGTTTGAGTCATGTAACCCACAGAAATTTTTCCAGCTGGTTGTGATATTTTTAGGTGCATTGAATGATCTGATCAAGCTTAGCTCCCTGTGGCAGTGCATTGCCTAAATATTTTTTATTTTGTCAACTAGATATAAGTCCTCCTTTAATTACAAAAAAAATCATGTATTTTGCCTTAGAACACGTTCAGTAGTTTGTATTTTTTAAACCTAGCATACCTTTTGGATGACGTCGAGACAATGTATCTTCAAGTTTTTGATTCCAGAAAGTCTAATTTTGTTGAGTCAAATCCATTTAAGAAAAGCCATCATGAATTGATCCCAGATACCTTGATTTACCTAGGCAACCACAAGAGACAAAAATTTGTTACGGCCCTGGGGAAGAAGGGATAAAGAATCTATAGAGAATATTTTTACTGTTTGCTTAATTTGTGTCACTCTTCTCCTACAGCATCCTTTACAATTACACACAAATGGACAATTATTCGAGCTATTCTAACAGCACCACTGGGTGATGTTTACAATGGCCAGTAGTTGGTTTCTTCACTGCTGGCATTACCTCTTAAATATCATCTCTTTTTCGAATTAAGGAAAATGTATTTTACTCAGAAATGTCAGAAATACCCCTCTTTATTGCAGAAGACTGGCCTGCTGTTTTTGTTTGTTTCATGCGAGGTTAAGGTACAAACATGAAAACATCAATCGATCATTTGACTGATTAATTGTGCAATTATTGTTTCAATTCATTTAAACATAAAACATTTAGTTTGCAAGATTTTCAATGAGAGAAAAGCGCACACATTTGTTTTGAGTTGCTAACAAGGTATTTCCATCATTCAGAAACCTTTATTGGTGCACTTTGTCGTAGGCTTTTTAACAATCCCATCGTTAAAGTTTCCAGGCATGTATCATGAAGTCATCAAAGCCAGTGTGATGGACTTCCTCTCTGATTTTGAACTTAGTGAAAGATGGCAACCTTCAACTGCAGAGCTCAAAAAGGTGCTTCTGAGGGGCCACAGCACAAAGCCTGTGTGCAATTAAAATCCCAGCTCTATAATCATGTGTATCAAAGCCCTCGTTAATTTTGAGTCTGAATAATGATGGGTTCCTTCCAGTCTGCTGTATCAAACAGATCAGGAAACCTTTTGTTGAAATATTTTTGGGTGACCGTTCTGCATTTCTCATGTTTGATCAGTTGTATTGCTTCTGAGGTTTGGTTTTTATTAGCCATCCCAATGAATCATCATTGGTTTACCCCACATAACATCTGCTTGATCCTCCTAATCTTCAGACGTACTCATCAATCCAGAGACAATATTTGCTGTGAGGCAACAGCCTAACTTCACTAAGGTGTACTCAGTAACACCAGCCTTGGAAACCATTGTCTTGTCTACAAAGATCAGTTGAGTGATATAGTTGGTGAGCTCTGTTTTCAAGGCAAGGACCACTCAGACACGTTACAGCAATGAGCCTCCACTTCGTCACACAAACACATGAGCAGATCTGCAACTTTGAACATTGTGGGAGATGGCGTCTCCCTTCAGAGATTACATGTGTCACCACTCCACATGCATCCTTTGTTCCGTTTTTCATCTCTTTCTTCCCTTCTCACACAGTCACCTCTGTCTTACTGTTGGTCACAAAGTAGGGCTGTGTGGGGAGAAAGTGTTGGCTGTGGCTGTGGCCTCTGGTGCTGTGGAGCTGATTTGGTTCCAGTACGGTACACTGAGGCCTCTTGTGCCCATAGCTCTTCCTCCTGCCCACTGTCTCAGTCCCGTCCCAGCCCTTTATCCCAAACCCCATTGCATGCCCAGTTGTGATTGTGTTGGAACTGTAGGCCAATGGCCGACCCATTGTAGCTGAGCCTGAGCCAAAGGAGGTCTCAGCAGCCCTGGAGATGCCCAGGGATGTGCAGCCTGGCATAGTCCCCACCATGTGTGCCAGGGAAGTAGCCCCAAGTCCTGGTGGCTTGCTACTGTGGCTGTGAGAATAAGTGTGGGAGCTGTGGGAGCTGTGGGCAACATGACTATGGCTGCCTTTGGGTTTTTGGCCATTTGGCTTGAGTCCTCCTACACCAACTATGTGCCTCTCTGCTGGGAGGCTTGTGACTGAGGAGATGTTTGGCATCTCAGTGACATAGGTGGCCACAGGCTCTGGAGTCAGTGGACCCAAGGAGGTCATGGGAGTCAAGGAGGTCATTGGAGTGTGTGAGGTCATGGCTGTCATTGATGTCATGGGAGTCATCGATGTCATTGGTGTCATAGATGTCATTGGGGTCATCTGTGAGATGGTGGGGTTCATGGGATTGGAGGTCATGTGGTTAGAAGCCATGGTATTGGTGGCCAACGAAGGAGTCATTGAAGACATGTTACCCATAGAGGGTCTGGAGTTTCCCATTGGCAGCAAAGGAAGGCCACCCTTCATTGGCAGCTCCACCATGAGTCGATGTTTGTTGTAAAGTTCACCGTTGTACTTGGCCGCTGAAGTCAGAGGGAAAGAGAGAAACAGAAAAATGAAATTAGGTCAACAAACACAAATAATGGCAAAATACTGCTTAGAGAAGAAACAAAAATACATAAGATTAGTATAAAAAGCCACAAACAGCAATGGAATCTTAACATTTTGAAGCAAATTCGAAGTTGGTGCACACACAGCTAAAATTTGGAGATGTAACCTCCACTAAAAGATCCCAAGAACAAGTTTCATGTATTCAGCATTTGTAGGCAGCCTTTCCTTCATCTAAGTGACTAAACAGGGATGAAGGTCACCCGGTAACATCTGTTTAAAGAGACATTGTGTAGTTTTTAACCATTTATTTCTGGAAACACCCATCAAAATGTTGTTGAAAATGAATGAAATGATGACCAGTGGTCAGGGGTGGACTGGCCTATCTGGCATTCTGGCACTGTCCCGGTGGGCCGCCTGCCCAGCTTGGTCTGACACTACTCCACAGTTGGTGATCTGCAGAACATTAGCTACATGGTAACCTGAAGCTAGCAGAGTTTTTCCAGGTATTTTTGGCAAGAAAAATGCAGTGGAATGATGACGTAGGAGTTGTTTTACTGTGTTAGCATGTAGCTAATGTCCCGCTGATCACCGCCCGTGGAGAATGAGCTGATCTGGAAGGCCAGGGCTCCCGGTCGCATCGGCCTGGCCCTGCTTCTAAATTTAACAGTCCCAGTCCATATTAGATCTCACATTTGGCCTAGAGACGAGTCCGCAAGCGGCAACACCCCCCACCACCACCGCTCTCCCAATGGGGAGAGTTTGGGGACTCTTTGTAAAAATGCCAGGGCCGAATTTTGGTCCCTGTCCACCCCTGCCAGTGGTTAAGAAATATTGGCAGCTTTTTAACATATAACCTTAAAAATCTGGTCTTAAATACATGGGAGCAGGTCTAAGTCTCTGGGCGACGCCATATTAGATGCCATGTTTCCTTCTACGGGAGACCATGTGGAAAAATGCATTTACTGATTTGTGACAAACGGTTACAAAGCTTTTGTCTTTCTTAAATGTTGTTGTTTTACACATTTACCTCTTCGCTTAATGCCAATGAAAGGGAGTCTGATGTGCTTGTTATTTTGCTATAGTTTGTACTCCCCAGGGCTTTTTGACCCTAATGGGCAACTGTTGGTAAGATCTTACTCCAACACTAAAATACTGCTTGCTTGCAACGATTTAGGTATCTACTGCCCCCTATCGCCTGAAAAATACACACTGACACTTTAAAGAGACCTGCTGTGCTTTTGAGGAGTGAAATCAAAGAAGAAGCTCTAAATAGACCCTTCGCTTCTTTTTTTTGCAAAGCCCAAAAAACTAACCTTGTGCTGCAAGATGAATTCTTGTGAGATTTGGAGTTTTCCCAAACTCAGGAAAATCCGTCTTGTACTGTTCCAGTGCAAATTGTCCGACCTTCGGCCTAAAATAGGCCGGACCAATCGTGTGTCAGCACTGTGCTGTAGGGTGGGAGTTAAGTTTGACGATAGTATCCTGCTGTCATGTGTGCTGGTGAGTGGAGCAGAGGTGAGGATCCAAGTGCAGGGGAAGCAGGCAGGCAGGCAAAATGACCAGAACATTCAAGGGGCTTTCATGAGACACACAGGACAATGAAACAATGAACTGACAAAACACACAGAACTGAGAGGGTTTAAATACATGAGGGCTGGGAGCTTGGGTGATTAGAAAATGAGAGGCAGGGACACATGACTGAACATAATGGGGAGACAGGACAGGGTGTGACACAAGCAACCGGCTAAGCAAAACAAGCATGGCCGTGCCAATTTACGCTTTAGCAGGTTTGAATAACATAACTGTGTGACTTAAAACATCCTTCACGAGCATATTCTCGCAAAACCGGCAGAAATCACCCAAAGACATGGTAATTGCAGCGTGAATGAACGAATGAAGCTTGAGCGAGTTGTTGTTTTCCAGGCGCAGATGGTATACGTCATTTGAGTTACTGTGATTGGCTAAAGACAAAATACAGCCGGGCACTACCTCCAATCATCTCTAAAAAAATGTAAAAACATCTGTTACCAGATAGTCGTCCCTCTTTCAGACCATTTTTGCTGCAGAGATTCCTGCCCCTGCACCTGCCCCTTTTGTCCGAAGTGCCCAAAGTGCCCTTTTTTCGGTCTTCCGTCAGATTTTACTGTCAAAAACTGTCATACTTAGATACCGGTCAGGCACTAGGACCATGTGGAGGCAGCCTCCTCAAGCTGAACCCTTAGATCCGCCCACAAGCTCACTGATTAGCTCTGCCGCGTCATGCCAACGTGTGATTGGCTGGCCCTGCTGTCGCTCTAAATCTGTCACCATGGAGACGACTGAAACCGGTGTTTCACTTGTCGGCAGGAGTCTGCGCTCATCTAGCTGTGAGTTTTTTATTCTGCCTGCATCACGTCAGCTGGATGGATTTTAATATCAGAGCATTTGTTTACATTCACATTTGAGTCCGTGGTTAGTGCGTGTTGAGCAGAGTCAGCATGTCTGAGACAGAAAAGAGGACATGAGAGATTCTCCGCGTGATAACTTCTGAATGGCTAATCCAATTAAAATAATTCCAACGGTTTCTACAAGTACATGAAATGAGCTTTCCAACGAGGTATTACATGATGTGATTCATGTTATTATGAAAATCGCTATTGGAGGGAAACCAGCTTTTCAGCATCACAGGAAACGGAGCAAACCACGATGGGAGAGCGGAGAACCGGGCGCGTTTTAAGCTTTTCGAAAGTGTGGAGGATGTTGTCTGTGCCTAAAATAATTTTATGTTATTCATCTTGTTAGTTTAATTTCCATAATAGCGGAGCAGGTGCGAATTTTAGACGAGTCACGCATGTCTCAGTTTTAAACATGTTTAAACTGTTCAGAATACAAATCCAGGCTCTGTATCGTTAGATTGGTGTAACTAAAGTTTGTACTGAATGAAACTTTACATTAAACCATGTTGAAAAGAAAAGGATCCGATTAATCGTTTTCCCTCATTTACAGCCACGGAGTACAGCACAGTGCGCATGGCTCTGGGGTTAATCAAGTTTAATTGTTTCTTTTTGCAACAATCTTCACAAGAAGGCAAAAGTTAAATGGCAGGTCACAGATATTTCCATTTGACTGTTTATTTTGACGGATAAACTCAAGGATGTTGGTTGTTTTGAAAGAATTACCCTGACACACACTGATGCACACAAAGATGAGCTGACATTTAAATCGTTATGCACATCGCAGAGGTAACTCAATCAATCAAGAAATGATTCCCATCAGAACATCAGAGCTTTATACTGGACACTGTGCTCAGCGCGGATCGGAGCGCACACGGTGGACGGTGAGCTGAAGATCTGCAGAGGGGTTTGCAGTGCAGTGCAGAACCATGGCGCATGCGGTAAGATTTCCTCCCACTGAAGCGCTCTGGAAACCCGGTCTCAGAGGGATGTGTTACTTGGAAAAATGTTCTCTGATTATGAAACTTTGGCTGAATAGCGCTTGTTCCTGTCTCTAATATGGAGACGCATGACGCATCCAGTCTGAGGCAGAATAGCCTCTTCAGCTCAGAAAGAACATGTAGAGACATTTGATCACACACAAAGTTTATGTGGAGCAGAAGCAGTCGGGCCATGGCAGGTGAAATGTTCCTAGTCTACATGAAGTGAAATTGTTTAATTGCAATATTAATATGTTACTGGACATGCTGGTCTGGTTGGTTAGACCAGTTTTTGATGTGGAAAACACACACACACACACACGCAAACACAAATGCTCACACACCAATTAAAATAATGCTGATAGCATGGTCTAGAAGACAGGTGATGGTTTACGTATTTAAATGATGATCAGGCTGCTGTAAAATGTAATCTCCATCCACATCCGGACAGAATTATCCTCTATTCTTTCTCTATTTGCTCTGCTCTTGTCTGGGCTGACGTATCTGATGGTGCGCGCGGCGCGCCGAGCGGCTGTGACGCACATTTTACGCATTTGGAAAGGTGGACTGGATGCTCTGCTTTTACTGTAAGATGTTTTTTTTTTTTTTCCAAAAATGTCGGAGATTTTGCCCCATGAATAACCGTAAAAACTACTGGTGTGCAAGTACATTTATGAAAGAGTCCTACGTTGAGAGGTATATATTAGAAGTGCAGGTAATGCATTCTGGTGCCTATGAATGAAAAATGAATGAAAATTAAATTGTGAGTTTTTACTTCATATATTAGAAGTAAAAATGACGGGGTAAAAAATTTATGACGTCTTTTTAAACAAAATTTTCCAGCGCGACCTGCCTGCTTCACTTAAAGGGACTTTACGGAGTTTTGAATTTTTATGCTTGTGATTACCCCCTCAGGCCAAAAGCGTAACGGCAGCTTCAATAGTAGGCTCGTGCATGAGGCGCGCATGCTGTATGTGCACATTCAACGAAAATAACAGCTGAGACAGTCCCTCATATATATATATATATATATATATATATATATATATATATATATATATATATATATATATATATATATATATATATACAGTATACATATATATATAAATATAAATAAATATATATATATATATATATATATATATATATATATATATATATATATATATATGTATATATATATATTAGGGCCGGGACTTTAACACGTTAATTACGATTAATTAATTAGAAAAAAATAACGCGTTAAAAAAATTAACGCATTTAATCGCAGCTTGCATTTCACGCACGGCGGAACCTTTGTCATTGCACAATTTCCTCGTAGACTGAATATCACTGACACACACAACAATGCGCAGTGCTAATGGCTACTAAAACGGAATAAAAACAGAAAGAAGTTGCCTTGCTTGGACTGATGCAGGATTTAGGAAACACGTCCGCCTCTTTTCTTAACTTGGAAAAAAAAAACTTCCAGACAACAACGGAGTCCGTGTCGCGGACATTTTTCAGAGATCGTCTCTGCTGCGGCTGCCCGGTGGCAATGGGAACTTTGCAAAAGTT